TGTAATGTGGTGGTATGGATTTATTTTTTAGCATTATAAAGCAAGTCTTACAACAACCTTCAACCTGTATCCCAAAGCAGAGTACATGATCATTCTAGAAGAAGATTTGGACGTGTCTCCAGACTTGTTTAACTATTTCCAACAGCTTATTCCTCTGATGAATGTGGATGACAGTATTTACTGTATATCTGCTTGGAATGATCAGGTAAGATCTCAGTGCTGGAATTATGGCTGCAAAAGTGCTTCCTCTATGCATGTTTGTGGGTTTAAACCACAAACACACCAGTATATGAGTGTAAAGTGGTTTTTGGTTCTTCAGTTTCTCCCCCTAATGGCAGAAAACGATACATCTCACTTCAAATTAAATTGTGAATTAACAGACTCAAATTATCAGTCATGGACTTGTTATCAAAAGAGCTTTTAACTTACAATACCTTCACATTTACTCAAGTATTTTTTCCCTTTGCTTCTTGTTTAGGGTTATGATCACACAGTAGGCGACAAGGCCATGCTATATAGAGTGGAGACCATGCCAGGATTAGGCTGGTTAGTACTGATGTATATATGCACAAAACGAGGCTTTTCTTTACAGATTCAGCATTACAATATCGTGTCTCATGATTCTTGTTAAGTTCTAATCTAATAGGTGGAATCCAGAATGTAAAATATGACCCTGTCCTGTACCTCTCAAAGAAGCCATTAGACCTCAATTTCCAACCCTACACAAATTCTGAGGTTGAAAACCCTTAAACCTCCTCAATAGTATTAAATTGAATTAATTATGCCCAAATTAACTTTGTTTTCTATATATATGTTAAGGAAGACTTTTAGCCTAAATGACAAGTTCACTGCTTCAACATTCCCTCCTTACTTTTGAACCAACTCTCCCCACCCATACATACAGGGGGCCGATATTGGCTCTCGTTATCATATTTAAGTTTTCAAGGTTGTTAAACTGTAGCAAGAACAGCTTGAATCTTATTGATCAACACACAGAAAGGTTCAAGGACAGAAAAACTCTCCTCTTGTTTTTGTCCCCACCCCTACACACACTCGCCCTCTGCACATTTTTTATGTTCCCTCCTCATTGTATGTGTTTCATTGTCCAAGGGTATTGAAGCGTAAACTCTACAAAGATGAGCTTGAACCTCAATGGCCAACGCCAGACAAGTTCTGGGACTGGGACGTGTGGATGCGACTACCTGAGATACGAAAGGGTCGTGAATGTATCATCCCAGACATTTCGCGGACATATCACTTTGGTACCAAGGGATTAAACATGAATCCGCATTTCCAGGAATTGTACTTTAAAAAAAAAGCACTGAACACTGAATCTAATGTCAAATTAAACATAGAAGTTATGAAAAAAGAGAATTACGAGAAAGAGATTGAACGACTTGTTGGGTGAGTATAATGGAGTAAAGTACGCTATTCAAAGCTATTTGCATATATTATATTTTCAATACAATACAATGTTATTTTAAGTTTACCATGTCTTCGGATTGGTCCACGAATTATTTAAATATCTTCCGCATAAATTATCTAAAACTCTTCGCAAGAAATTGGTCAAGAGTACAACCACTCTAATAATCTGAGTTTGTTGATGACTCTGTCTTATCATTAAACGTCGGGTTTCTTTTGCGCGTTTTCTTCTGATAAACCACTACGTCTTTTCGGGGGAAGTATATACGAACCTGCAAGCAGGATGGCGACAAAAGCACCCGAACGATTCGAATACACTACGTGTGGATGTGAATTTTCTTTAAATCCGAAACAAACAATTAATAAGTTGCGGATTCAAAAATATCTGGATACGTGTAGACGAGGCCTAATCGTTTTCGATATTTTGGAGCAATAAATACAGAGTATTTTGAGGATATTCAGTCCGCTTATTCGCTGTCATCATCTCATAAGCCAATTATCGCTTGGCCATTGTATTATAACCGCAGGCATTCGGATCTCAGAGCCGGTTCGTACGAAAGAACTAACGAGTCGATCTGTGAGCTAGCCCGCTCTTATTGTCGTAGTTGTTTAAGGGTTCTATTAAATTAAGGGGTTTCCATTTCCGCTATGCTTGACAAATTCTCGCTTCGCAAGAATAAAACACAACTCGGGAAACAAGAGAGGTCGAAATGGAGCAAGTCTAGTCCTTTCAAAGGTTCATATCCATAAATGCATTGCACACCTCAGCTAAAATGCGCGTGACGTGAAAACTCCAGTGCACCACATTTTAATGCATTTTCACTGAGCAACATATATATTTACCTTTTTTTCAGTATTGCTGAAGTGCTCGACCACTCCAAGAATCCGTGCGCAAACCCAGACTTTTTCCCCCAAACAAAAGGAGAGACTTATGTATTTTATATCAAAATGGATCACCCGACTGACTGGGTAACCTGGAATAGTGTATCAAAATGCCTTCATATCTGGGATGTGGAAGAGGATGTTCGTGGTTTCCACAAGAGCATGTGGAGACTATGGTTTAATAGTAATCATATTCTAATTGTAGGTTCTCCTGCTTCTCCTTATTCCAAGCATAAGCC